TATATTTGGACTTCTTCTAATCAAATTATCCAATTGAAATTTTTTTATTAAGTCTATTATTAAATTATTATTCAACTTTGAATAATTATTCAGTTTTAATTTTTCAGTTGAATTTTAGTTTAATAATGTTTTCCAGTTTAAATTGTATTAAGTGTTACAATTTAGTTGTGGAGTATTTGTGAGTAATGTGCATAATCTGAGCATGTTATTTATATCTTTATTGCAATAATTATTTGACTGTTATGATTATGTTGGTAGAAAAACATGTTCATTAAGAAAAATTTAGAGTCTTTAGGTCTGAATTATATGCTTTGCATGATTTAGTGCCTTTTAGGTAAATTAGTGCCTTTTAGGTTAGATTATGCATATTATTACTCTACTCTTCAGTTATTACTCCACTCGTGTTTTATAAAGTTCCTAAAGCACATAAAGTACATAAACAATTCGTAGTTTACCCTATTCAAAGCCTTATCCATAGGTGAAACTACACTCTTTAGATCTCTCAAACGATTTTACTTCAAAAATGAGAACACATGAATTAGGGAAGTTTCTTGGGGAGGAATACTAGTTCTATGGCCCTGGCTTAAAAGCCTTGTTGCTACTAGTCCCCTTGCGACGCTACTCTGTCTAAGGAGTTGGTTTTTAACCGAGCTTCGCCTCGACCAACTTTCCTGGGAGTATACCTAAGGATTGTCTATCATATTTTAGTTTAATCTGTTTGTTTATTAGGCTTTCTTGCTAATGTGATTATGTTCTTTGGTTAATTAAAGAGTATCCACAGCATCTTTAATTTTCCAAAATTACATATTAAGTTTTACTCACATAAAGTTAATGCAAGAATATTGTAATTCACTCTGCGCAATATGGCAAAATTTAGCCCACAGGCAATTTTGTTATATTTGTAGGGTGAATTAGGATGAAATACCATACTATGATCATAAATTGCCCACATGGATTATGTATCGGCATATAATTTTGGTAGTTTTGTCATTCAAGGTGGAAAAACTAAAATCGCACCCATTCCGTTTCCACCATTCGGTTTTGGTAAATTCATTATGCGTAAAAATTTAGCCCACATGCAATTTTTATGGCATCTGAATTTATCTTTTGCATAATTTTACACTGGTAATATTATGTACTTCAATATCTCTCTCTAATTTTGTGCCTCGAAAATTCTAACTAAGCTTTCATTATTATTCTTTACAGCAACTCATCTTGTCACCCAAAAACAAACTATTAATGTTCCAATCCTTAATGGAGATAACCACAAGGAGTGGACAGATGCTATTCTCCTGCAATTAAGATTATTAGAGTTGAATTACGCTGTTCTTAATGAGGAACCCCCTGAGGTTACTGAAGAAAGCACTGACGAAGCCAAGTAGCTTCGCGCACGATGGGTGAAATCCAATGGTGAAATTTAGCGCACGATGTGCTCTTCATTAAATCAAGAATTTCCACAAAATTCGTTTTTACTTTGAGGACATTAAGAAAGCTAAGCCCTTGCTCAAAGATATCGATGATAACGTCATTGAATCAAAGAAAGTTTTGGCAATAACTCTAATAATGAAGTTTAGAAATTTGCGTTTTTCCATTGTCAAGGGAACGCGTAAACACGTCATGCAAGTCAGGGACATTGCGGCTCAATTAAAGAAGTTGGAAATCATTGTACCAGATGATTTTTTGGTACGTTTTGCACTTGATTCCCTCCCTCAGGAGTACAATCCTTTTAAGATTTCCTACATCACACATAAAGTGGACTAGTCTATCAATGAGTTGATAACCAGGTGTGCAATGGAGGAACAAAGGTGTAACACCCCCTAATTTTCCAAGCTAATTAAAGCCTTAAATATGCAGATATCTAAACAAAACATCAGACACAGCGGAAGACTGAAAGAGGAATATATATAAACTGGAAGAAAAGGGGTGCTATGCCACGCTCATCCAGAGATGAACGCACAGGCTAACATCTGCATAATTCAACATCTAAAACCATACATGTTCAAGTACTAAGTCTATACTGGGCTCACAGGCCACAAAACACATGAAAGGAGTTACACTAGCTGGCACTAAACCGCGCTCTCGTCTAAACGTCACCTGAAAGAAACACATAAAAGATGGGACGATGCCCGGTCAGTGAATAATGCTGGTAACCCACCAATACATGTGAAATATCATACATATGCCCGTAAGGGCTGCTCAAGTGGTAAGGAAGTGGCGCCCTTGACTGAGAGGTCCTGGGTTCAATCCTCCGCCATGACGGGTATGAGCCGGTCAGCTATGGGAAACCTAGGCTGGTTTGCCACCTTGTGGCCCTTTGCCGGCTAGGGTCGCAGGGCGAGGGTTTACCCACATACTCACGAATGTCAGGAGTGGGGTTTACCTCGAAAATCCAAAAAAAAAAAAAAATATCATACATAGATAAGATATACGTTTGTAAAGTCATTTGCGAAACGGAATACATATATATAAGTTCAAAACCAAGAGCAAAGGTCAACACAAGACTCAAAGCACTCACAACAAGATAAGGGACGACCCAAGGTATAATCTATCATCACACAATAGATTAACACCCGACATGCATAACACAAGAGATAAGACACACATGCCAAGGAAACACATGTCACAGGAAGAGAACTCACAACAACGGCAACACAAGCCTTCGTGACATCACCCATCACGAATTGATATGCCTTCCTTATGCCCGATTCCAACCTTATGGCTACCCCAACCTTATGTCTAGTTCCAACCATTACCTCCCGGACCCCTGTACACCAAGTCCAACCTTTTCCCTCCGAGGACCGTCGTCCCCATCCGACAACAACCGCCAACAAAACCATCAATTCATAGTACACGAGGGTACTGATCACACACATGGCAACACATGCCTTGGTAACACATGCCTCCCAAGAAATACGTGATCCTTACACAAAGGTCACAACTCCATAATCACGTCATGGCCACCACGAGGACCACTGCAATACCTTGGTGACTAGTGTCCCATACCACTAATCGTGCAATCCAGGTAAAGCCACACACACATCACACCTCAACAGGAATCAATCAACGGATCACAACGAAGATATGAAACCATACTCAATCAAGGAATGGATCACAGTCCAACAACAACGATGATTAACACAAGTCATCATCAACAATAGGAAGGTACAAACAACACACACGCTAGCATTTAAACACCGAACTAGCATGAATCGGTCTGAGCCCGGATATATTCAACCCCCAAGTCCCGAGCGCATTGTAGGCCATTAACAAAGGCCTCATACTCAGCTTCATTGTTGGTCGGATAGAACTGATACATCAGTGCAAAGTAAATCTTGAAACCCTCTGGGCTCTTGACCACGACCCCTCATCCTGCTCCTTTTTTGCTATTGGACCCGTCGGTGGCCAAAGACCACCACGCCGCCTCGGGGTCCTCAACCTCCGGGGGTCGGGTCTCCCGAGCGGTGCACTCGACCAAGAAATCTGCTAGAGCTTGACCTTTTATAGCCAGTCTCGGTCGGTATTCGATCGCATACTGGGTCAGCATTAACGCCCACTTGACTAGACGTCCGGAAGAAGAAGCGGTTCAGAGAACTGGTCCGATTGGCTGATCGGTCAACACATAGATGGCTCTACCTTGAAAGTAGGGAGCTAACTTCTTCGCAGCTATGTACAGAGCATAGACGGCCTTCTCTAGCCGGGAGTACCGGAGCTTGGGACCCTGGAGCGCGTGGCTCACATAGTAGACCGGTCGCTGGACTCCCTCCGAATCTGTCCGGCATAAAACCGCGCTTACAGCTCGATCGGATACGGCGAGATAGACATCTAGCTCTTCTCCGAGCTCAGGCTTTGACAATACGATCGGGGACATCAGATATTCCTTCAACTCGTCAAAAGCCGCTCGGCACTCGTCGTCCCAGGCGAATCCATTAACTTTGTGCAATACCTTAAACAATGGTAAGGCGCGCTCAGTTAGTTTGGAGAGGAAACGGCTTAAGGCTACCAACCAGCCGATCAACTGTTGCACCTCCCGAACGGTCGTGGGCGGTTGCAAATCCAGAATAGCCTTGACCTTGGCGGGGTTGGGCTCGATTCCTCTTTTGGTCATCATGTAGCCGAGGAACTTTCCCGTTTGAACCGCAAATGTGCACTTGTTAGGATTCAATCGCAACTGGTACCTCCTCATGATCTGAAAACACTCCTGGAGATCCCGAGTGTGGTCGGCTCGGTCCCGACTCTTAACCAGCATATCATCGATGTAAGCTTCCATCGTTCGGCCTAAAAGATCCGCAAAGAGCATGTTGACCATCATCTGATAAGTTGCTCCTGCATTGCGGAGGCCGAACGACATCACTCGGTAACAATACATTCCATCCGGGGTAACGAAGGCTGTCTTGCTCTCATCTTCATGGTGCATCATTATCTGGTGATAGCCCTTGAATGCATCCATGAAGCTCATGAGCTCAGCCCCGACCGTCTCGTCGACCATTTGGTGAATACTCGGGAGCGGGTACGGGTCGAGCGGGCATGCTTTATTGAGGTCAGTGAAATCGATGCACATCCTCCATGCTGGGGGCTTAGGAACAAGAACAATATTAGCCACCCACTCGGGATAGATGACCGGTCGGATGTGTTCAATCGCCGCCATCTTTTTGATCTCCTCTCTAACAAACTCTCGGGGGTCGGAGGATAAGTGCCGAGTCTTCTGCACGACTGGCTTTGCCGCGGGATCTACAGCAAGCTTATGACAGATAACGGTACGATCGATCCCGGGCATATCTTCGGGCCCCCACGCAAAGATGTCGGCAAATTCCCGGAGGATTGCTAGTACCTCCAATCGTAGCTCGGGGGTGAGGGCCCGACCGATCTTGATCTTCCTGTCCGGTCGTTCCTCGGACAAGGGAACTTCTTCGATATCTTCGGAAGGCTAGGGTTGCTCCTTCCGGTCACTGGTGGCTTCCTTGACAATAGTATTCACACGGGACGACGTGCCAGTATCACGCTTATTGACCGCCCGTGTATAACATTTCCTCGCGGATTGGACATCTCCACGTACAACTCCGATCCCGTTCGGGGTGGGGAACTTCATGCATAGATGGGGCATGGAGATGATCCCGCCGACCTTCATGATGGCCGGTTGACCCAAGATGATGTTGTGGACGCAGTGCAGATTGACCACAACGAATTCCATCTCCGTCTTCACAGATTTGGGCGAGGTGCCGATCTCGACCGGGAGCATAATCTTTCCTTCGGGGCGAATGAGGGCCCCAGTAAATTACGCCGACCGGAATCAGCTCACGCTTGTCCAACTTTAGCTTCTCAAATACGTCCAAATAAAGAACATTAACACTGCTCCCCGTGTCCACCATGACTCTATGGACATCGGTCCCCATTACATCAATCGTGACCACGAGGGCTTCCATCCCGTGGTCACCACTATTTGGTTGATCCTCCAACGAGAAGGTGATAGGCTCCATCTTCAGCTTTTTCCCGGTTTCACGGGAGTCTACGATCGCGACCGGGCAGCTCTCCCGGGGTTGGGAAACGTCGTCCAAACCGCCGAAGATCACATGAATGGTCGGTTTGGCCGCTGGTCGGCTGCTGGATGGAGGGTCGGGGTCTCTGCGATCTTGACCCGACCGATCTGAACGATCGGAGCGATCTGAGCAATGGTGGGAGCGCCTATGATCTCTCCGATCAGCATCTTTCTTACTCTCTTCCCTTTTGCCCACACACTTATCCAGTTTTCCCAAATTAAGCAAGCCTTCCAGCAATTGCCTTAAGTGCGTGCATTCCTCCGTGTCATGCCCGGCACAGCGGTGATAAGCACAGTGCTTAGACTTGTCCGGTCCGTCCTGCCCGGGATGAAAGAGGCGAATGAGGTTGCAGGATTGGGCGTACTGCATCGCTTTCGCCGCCGATCGGTTTACCATCGTAAACTCCCCTGGCCGGGTACGGGGTCGGGGATGGTCGTCACCCGACCGATGTTCCGCCCGACCAACGGGCTTCCGGGATGAAGTCCTGACCTCCTGCGATCTCTTGATGGCATTCGCTTCTCCGGCATTAGCGTAATCCGTCACTCTTCGGAGAGCTTCCTCACAAGTGCTCGGTGGGTGGAGGATGAAATCCTGGTACAAATAGCTGGCCCGGAGGGAAATTTGGAGCATGTGGATGGCGGTGAGATTGTCCATCGGTTCGACCTCCCCGACCGCTGCTTTCCATTTAACCAAGAACTCGGACAAGCTTTCCCCCTCTAGCTGCTTGGCCTTCTCCAAGTACATGTAGGGCTTTCTTATGACCTTAGAGGTCACAAACTTCCGGTTGAATTTCCTCGCCAAAGTTTCAAAATCGGCGATCGAACCGGGTTGAAGCGCCCTGAACCATTCTGCCGCCCGACCGGTGAGCGTGGAATAAAAAGCCATACACATTACGGCGTCAGACACGCCCATCATCAACATGTTGCCGTAGTAGGTGTTGACGTGAACCTCAGGGTCTGTACGCCATCATACTCTTTGTTACCCGGGACTTGCAGATCGAGCGGGTAAGGCTGGGCCATTATTTCCGCCGTGAAGGGTGTCCTCAGTAAGGAGGCTGATTGATCGACCGGAGGCCTCACAACGTGCTCGTTTCGGAACCGGGTGAATTCCGCTCGGAGGTCGTCGAGCATTCGTCGGGTCTCATCATGCTCGACCGTCTGGGCTGGTTCCCGGGGGCGTCGTCGGCGATGTGACTTGGACCCACTATGCCCCGACAACCCCTCCTGGCTGGCGGCTCTCATCGGTGAATCTACCGAGCGCCTGCTCGGATCCTGCAGTCCCAATCGTTGCAGCATGGCTGGGCGGAGCCGCTCGAATGCCACTGCCTGATTGGCTTCTACTTCGGGGTCCTCCGCCTGGGCTTGCATTTCCGACTGTACCTGCTAAGCCTGCCGTGGTACCTCCATGGCCTCGGCACCCTGCGACCCCAACCTCGAACGAGCTGAGCGCCTAGCCCGGGAGGCGGGCTTAAGCTCCGGCTCGGTCGGCATGGTTGGGTAAATCGGAGGAGCGGAGGCTGGAGCCGTGTGCACAGGCATGTATTGGGGGTAGCCGGTCGGTGGTGCATAATACATCGGTGTACCGGGCCAATACCCATACTGTAGAGGTGGGACCGGGTACGGATATTGCCGTGGAAAGGAAACTGCTGGCCGAGAGGCGAATACCCCGGTTGGATATAGTTGACCGGCTGCTGGGCGAACGGGTTCTGGGTCGCCGGGTGAGACGGTGAAAGATTGAGGTTCAGATCGATTGTCTGACCCTGGTACTGAGTGCGTTGATTATCGGAAGAACTGGCTGCATCGGCTTGCTCCTCCTGGTCCATTTGGTACATATATGGATACATGGTGATAGATGAAACCGGTGCTTGTCAAACGTTAGCTTTCGTACACTCGGTCCCCACAGACAGCGCCAAAATGATAGTATAAATTCCACGTAGGCGGTCAAGATACTAGAGAAGATCAAATCAAAGCAAATAAAGATTTTTATTTGCTCAGCAAAGGACCTAATACAATCTAAATGACTAATCCGAGGGCCGACTGACTGCGGTCGGGCAGCTCTGTAAATAGCCTATCGATCGTCTCAAAAGTCCCTCACATTGTAGCCTCCGTGGGTATTTATAGCCGCTAGGCCGGAGACATAATTCCGGCCGGCCGGCATGTAACCCACGTAGCACCCACGTGTCTTCACCCAGCGAGCCCTGCCCGTCATCGTGTAACATTGCCACGTGTTTCTTCTTGAATCTCTCGTTCAAGGGCCATCGACCGGGTGCTGAAGACATCGGTCGGGAGATACGCCGGTCGAGTCCGACCGGCTTCCTTCAGGAATGTCCGACCTGTAAACCTGCACAAATAACAAGAAAAGACGTGGCATGCCGATCGGGATATATCCTACCAATTATCATAATTTGTCCTAATGTTATAATAATAGTAACAGATAAAATGCTACATTCCCCCACTTGATGCAAGCACTATCACTCAATAACAGAAAAACACCAACTATAATGATATGTTCTCATTAGCGCGAGTAGTATCCATTATGACCAAATACAAAGGAATGGAATGAATCTTTTAGTTTAGTATTCCCCTATTTATAAGAAGAATTGAAGCATGTAGATAACTAAGAGATATTATCTAAATAAAATCTACTTTTACTAAGTAAAAGTGTATTATCTTTAAATTATCTTTTTTAAAAAATTCAAAAAATACACCTAAATTATCCTTATGTCATAAATTTCAATAAGTTTTTAGCACATGATTTAATTATTTTTAAGTCATTGAAAATACATCAAAGAGGCACCAGGATCCTTACTTCAACCCTTGGGGACATCAGACATCTAATGAAGGAAGACAAGTTTGGTATCCCATTTTGAAACCAAGTTGATATATTTCATATGTAATTAGCAGGTAGTCCTTTCCAGTTTGATCTAAAAAATATTAAGTATGAAATAAATAGCTAATTTTTCATATTTTTCTTGCTTTTCTAAGACAAAAAAAAAATAAAAATAAAAATAAAAAAATCAATTTTTGTGAGAGGTAAGGGGTGTCTTATAAATAAATTATAGACAACATTATCTTAAGGGTATACAATGAAAGGTGAAATATGAAATATAGCTAATCGACTCAATTCAAATCGAAAAGACCAATAAGCAACTCCCTTAAAGGAATGGAACCAATTAATCCCATCAAGTTAGGATAAAGAGAAGGAGAAAGGGAGAGAAAGGAGGGGAGAAGGGATGGAGGAGATGGGAATAAGCGTGCTTCGGAGAGATTGTTTTTTTTTTTTCCCGGAGTATGTTTGTAAAGGCGCATGGCCGGTAAACGCCAATAAGATAATGGCGCACTAATTGGACACGCAGAGGGTGGAGGACAGTTTGTCTCCCACCATTAATTTTATTAAATAATAATAATAATAATAATAATAATAATTATTATTATTATTATTATTATTATAATAATAATAATAATAATAATAATAATAATAATAATAATAATAATAATAATAATAATAATAATAATAATAATAACAACAACAACAACAACATATTTTCAAAAAAAAATAATAATAACAATAACAATAACAATAATTCTCAATTGTGGCTGCTGTTTTTTGTGTTTAAAATTATTTTGACCAGTGTCAGTCTTGGATACATTTTACCAAATCATTAAAGAAGCTTTAAGTTTCTCCAAAAAAATTCAATTTCAAATTTGTGTAGAAGCTTTAAGCTCCTCCAAAGAATTTACTTCAAATTTGTGTAGCATTGTAGGGCTTTAAGCTCCTCCAAAGAATTCAACTTCAAATTTGTGTAGCATTGTAGGGCTTTAAACTCCTCCAAAAAATTCAACTTTAAATTTGTGTAGCATTATTTGACCATTCCATCAATCTTAGGGATGGCAACGGGGCGGGGCGGGGAGTATACTCCCCATCCCCATCCCCTCCCCGCTACCCCGTTCCCGTCCCGACGGAGAATTGGAAATATTCTCCATTCCCGCCCACGTACGGAGAATTAGGCGGGGACAGGGATTCCCCATTCCCTGTCAACTTCTAGAGAAAATGTTAAATAATTTTAAAATATAAGTCATAATTTCAGAAATTAAAATAATATATATATATATATATATATATATATATATATATATATATATATATATATATATATATATATATATATATATATATATATATATATATATTCGGGGACGGGGAGGGGTGTCGACATCCCCGTCCCCGTCCCCGTTCTTCAAAAATCTTTTCAATCTCCGTCTCTTTCGGGGCGCGGATCTGGGATCCCCGTCGGGGACGGGGCACATTGACATCCCTAATCAATCTTTATTATAAATGCTTCATTTGTGTAGCATTATTTGACCATTCCATCAATCTTAAAAGCAACAAAAAGAAGGCGCTGCCAACAGGTTTCCAGCCCATGCCATTTAACATAGCAACACCCATCCAATACCATCAGACTACATCATCTTATATTTATCAAAGCGCTACAACTTATATTTATGCCCTATATTCGGGGTGGGCAGATTCATTAATAGGCCACGACTAGCCATTGGCCGGCCGTCGGCGTGTCCCGCCGGCCACATCAGGCCGTGGCGTGGCCGGGCAGGGTGGTGCGCCCTCGGGCACTTCAACGGCAGGGGGTGTGGTACGACATGGGAGGTTGGTAATTGACCCTTCAAGCTAGCGCATGGCTAGTAATGTGAGCCCATCAAACTTTCTGTTGGAAAAAACAGGATTAAAATGGCATTTTAAGTGGCTATTTTGTGGTACAATTATCGGTGGGGTCCACTTTCGATTTGGGTCTGGTCAAAGTGGATTCGGGTTCTTCGTAGTGAGACGAAGAGATTGATATATTGTACGCTTAAAACGGATAATGGGTGAATGAGATATTGATTCTCAAAGTAGACCCATTGAGTTGGAAAAATGAAGGGAAAAGTGAGCTTTTGTCCCACATTGGTTTGGGAAGTGGATTTGCCCACTATTTATACAAGAGTCTTTTTGGGAGGTCGAAAGTTGGCCTTGGCTGAGACCATGGTCCAAGGTTGAAAGTTCGACCTTGGGAGGTTGAAAGTAGGCCTTGGCCGAGACCATGGTCCAAGGCTTACGGAATTAATTGTCTATTAATTTTAATTTTAAAATTTTAATTTAATCTCACTTAATAGTGGTTGTTTCTGGTGTTACAAAACGTGGATTAAATGCCAACTAAATGCTATTAAGTACTCCAACCCTTATATAAGAAGGGAGTAGGACAACATATGTTTTACACGAGAGAGAAAAGAAGAAAGCATACACACTTGCACGGTTTTTAGTTCCAAAATACTCTGCTCCTCCTTTCTTTGCCTAACTGTGTTCAAGGCTTTGCTCTAGTTCGTCGGGTTCATTCATTTGGATGCTCAAACGTCGAACCGTAGCACGTTTTATCGTGGGAAACCTATGGCACAACACTCCTAGCACTTTTGGGAGGTGGCAAATAAGGTTTTAAAAAAAGAGTGATCTTTTGACTCGCGCTAAAAACCTTATACCCAAACACGAGCCAATCTCCTTCTTCTTTCGGTTTGGATTATGCTTCTAAGCAAAAATCCTCTCTCTATATTTGTTTTTGTCGTTGGATTGGATTTATAATCGGAGGATTATAAGTTCCAATTTTTTGGTTGATATACATATTGGTATATCTTTTTCGTAGATATATATATATATATATATATATATATATATATATATATATATGTATGTATATATGTATATATAACCTTTGAGTCTGTTTTATATATATTTGTGTGTATATATATATTTCGGATATATATCAAATAGTATTTTATATTTTTTCATGCGTATATATAAATACTATTTTGGGATATTAAATCAATTTTTGGTTCATTATTTCCAACACTTCCCATGACATGGCGTGACTAGCGGGGACCATGCACCCCTGGCTCACCATCGGCGCCCCCATCGGCTGGGGGAGGTAGTGAGAGGTAGGGAGGAGTTGTAAAGAAGGTGGGAAAGAGGGTGGAGACGTGGGTGAAGACATGAGGCATGCATGGGACACGTGGAGGATAGAAAGCTAGTTGATGGTCGTACACATGTCAGCAATCTAGAAGGCCCTTCACACTATATAAGGCATCATTTTCTCTCTTCGATGGGGACCATCTAAGCACGACAGGCGCACTGGTCTAGTGATCTCTGGTCTATATTCTCAACCCAACCACCTGGGTTTGATTCCTACCAGTAGCATAGTTAGCCATACCCCATTTCTTAGGCCGTGATCTTTGTATTTGGGCCGTCATTCTGGGTCTGTACCTCGGACTTTGTACGTACTATTTTGGGCTTAGTGCCCCAAATAATAAAGCAGATTTATTGTGGACCCAGTCGCAATAAAACCATCATGTAGTATTTAGTATTCAATTTCAAATGAGAATTTTACTATGGCGTTAATTTGCTTGAATTGAATTATTAAATTATATTTTGTAATTCAAAAATATTACGAAATGATCAATATGTCCTTTAATAATTTGAAGTTTTAGAATAGATTATTATTATTAACAAAATATATAAATAATAGATTAAAACGGTCACTTTTAACATAATTAAAAGAGAAAATTTATATAGGGTAATAATTTATAGAATGAGTGTACAATTTAGATATAATTAATGGACTAAAATCGCCATTTTTCTTAAATAAAATAACATATGATGGCCAACACCTTGTGGCCTAGTGGCACCAAAGTTGCACTCTCATATGGGAGGGCGCAAATTATGTTGTGGACACGAGTCCAATACGACCTCGTTTTAAGGGAAAACGTGGCCTTCCAATTAAAAAAAAAAATGATTTTGTCTCGCCGTTAACGGCGTTATTCGTTTATGGCATTATGAATGTACAGTTATGGAATTATGAATGTAAGTTATGGAATTATGAACACAGAGCTCTGACATTATGAACTTACAATTATGAACATATAGTGATAAAATTATGAACATAGAGCTCTAAAATTGTGAACATAGAGTTTCGAAAATTATGAATTTACAGTTATTGAATTATGAATGTACAGTTACGGAATTATGAATGTACAGTTAATCCCCAGTTATGCAATTATGAACACAGAGCTCTGACATTATGAACTTACAATTATGAACATATAGTGATAAAATTATGAACATATACTCCTATAACAAAGTAGTCTTAATTTTTTTAAAAAAAAAAAAAATTAAAAAAAAATTGAAAAACAATGGAAGAGAACGGTGCCACTAACGGCACCGTTATCGTGTCCAGCATGCATGCTGGGCACGGATCCATAGCATAATGATTGATGGGAGGGTGTGAGTTCGAGTCTTAGTAAAGGCGGTATTGACCCTTTGTGTTTCAGCGGGTTATATGATAATGGAGTAAATACCTAAAATGGTCCCTCGACTATAGCTAAATTCACAAATTGGTCCTCGACTTTCAATTTCAACCAATTAAGTCCTTAACTTTGCAATTTTGACACGATTTGGTCCTCCATCTATTTGACCATTTGTTGACCGTGATCGACGATCTCCATAAGAACCTTCAGCTCTCGTCGGAGCACGTGGAGGCTTCCAGGATGACGTTGCACCGGTTCGAAAACACGTCGTCGTCTTCGCTCTGGTACGAACTCAACTACATTGAATCTAAAGGGAAGATGAAGAAAGGCGACCGGATTTGGTAGATTGCTTTCGGCATTGGATTCAAATGTAACAGTGCGGTCTGAAAATGCAATCGGACCTTAAAAACCCGACGATGAACAATGAAATTACATATATATCCTCAAAAATCACAATCAACAAACGGTCAAATAGACAGAGGACCAAATTGTGTTAAAATTGTAAAGTTAAGAACTTAATTGGTTGAAATTGAAAGTCGATGATCAATTTGTGAATTTAGTTATAGTCGAGGGACCATTTTGGTATTTACTCATGATAATGTGGAGGAGTTGAACTCATGAAATGGAGAGATAAGAAGAGAAGGGGTGAAGTCGTGAAGATGCCCTCATGTAGAAAAGCACTTGATGGTGCATGGGATGTGGTGGACCATTCAATCATGCCATGTATCCTTGAGTGGGACCCAGGTGAGATTTGTCAAACTAGACAAGAAAAGATGGCAGAAAAGCAGTCTGAGGAAGGAAGCTAATTTCCTAATCATAATTTATTAGACAACATTAATTAGGTACATATTTTACTTTAACCAGGTTGTTTATACCACTAATGTCCTGTGTTAAGTAGTTGCAGAAAACAACCTTACCAACTTCCACATGAAAATGCTGAGTTGCCAACAATCATTACATTATAGTCCAACCACTAATTGCCTTCCCCACTTGAATTATTAACTACAAATCTCAAACAGACAAAGCAGAACTAGTGAACTACCACAGATTTTTGTTTTTTTTTTTTAATGTAAATTTCCCCTCTTCTGAGTTTACTTTAATCCAAAACAGCATTTTAGGATTTTTAGCCAACAACATTTGACAGACAGGTGACAAAGACAAATGAGGCAATCCTTTGATGTCACTACTCATTAGCAGAAGTTCATCATCTTTGGATGGAACCATTGTCCTAACAATTTGGCTTGTTTTGCACCCATCTCACCATGCTGACAGCAACAAATCAGAAAATTTCTTTTTGGGTCTGATAAAAGATGGAATCTTGACCACTAGATTGTAATGTTCTGGCAATGAAATGTGTTTTCCAGTTTCATTTCAGGGGAAGGGTAGGTAGGTAATCTGTACTTCAAATCTTTTGTTTCTTGTTAAGAGGTGCCAGTGGTCCTATTTATGACAATTTCAGCTGAATAATTCTTGGAAACTGAACTTGTATTTATAGGTACCAGTGGTCCTATTTAGGGAGAAATCCCTAAACATTTCTTGGGATTTTCCAGCATCTCCATACCCTCATTTCTTGGAAGATGCTTCAAATCATAGTGGCTTTGATTAATTTTCTTGCTCTCTGAGATTTGTCCTGTACCCCACGTGTTTGTGGAAATGTCTGAAAGTTTATGCCACAATGAGGGTAAAGATAAAAGATGTAGCTTTGACACTTTTTCTCTTCCCTTTTATCTTCCACTCCACAGACATTTGTCACTGTTATAGAAACTGCTTTTAGTTTTCTGGCATATTCCCAATTCTGAAAGTTTCTTGAAATTTCAAACAAATTGCAAGAAACACAGTAATTTAATTTGCCTTTCTTTCTTGGGTGGCATTCACTTGTATGCTGAAAATAACAAGAACCATCTCCAAGTTGTTCATCCATGAGTGGAATTAGCCCAATTCTGCTGTTGGTGATAGTGATTCTTGCTGTTATCTTCTTTCTGTTTGGCATTCTTCATCTTCTTATAAGATATTTCACGAAAAGGCCATCTTTCTCGTCGTCGCTTCCACAGTCGAATAGATTCCCGGACACTTCTGCAGGTTCCCATGTTCTTCAGAGGCAGCTTCAACATCTCTTCCGGTTACACGATTCTGGTCTAGACCAAGCCATCATTGATGCTTTGCCCATGTTTTACTACAAGGACATCACAGGCTTGAAGGAGCCATTTGATTGTGCTGTTTGTTTGTGTGAGTTTTTAGAGCAGGACATGCTGAGATTGCTCCCCTTGTGCTGCCATGCCTTTCACATTCACTGCATAGACACCTGGCTGCTATCAAACTCAACCTGCCCTTTGTGTAGGGGCCTAATTGCCTCTTCTTTTCCTCAAGGGTCTAGCTTTGATGAGCCAAGAAACCAGTGGCATTGCTTCTTGGAGGATGATGGGAAGAGGGAGGATTTGAGCGGCCACGAGGAGGCACGAAATGTGCAGCAAATTGGAGGGGACTGGAGGGTTTTCTCAGTGAGGCTGGGGAAATTTCTGAACCAGGGAGGTGGTGAGAGTACTGGAGACTGCAGATTAATGCAAGGGGAAATTAGTAGGTGCAACTTGGATGCAAGGAGGTGTTTCTCCATGGGTTCTTGCCAGTATGTTGTTGGGGACTCAGAATTGCAGGTTTCTTTGCCTAGTGCCCGAAACGCGAGTCGGCTTCTGAAAGGAAACCACCATGGCCCTCCTGGGTTGAGCAGTGAAGGTAAAAAGATCAGTGCCAGAACTGAGGGGGAGAGCTTCTCCATATCCAAGATTTGGCTGTGGTCCAAGAAAGGTAAACTTCCAAGTTGTCCAGAAACTAATGTTACTGGAACTTCTCTCAATAATCTTGGTTTGTCCATGGCTGAAACTGGATAAATCCCGCCTTCTGATCTTAGCCGGCAAAGGAACACAAGGAGGTAAATCAGAAGGTTCAGACTCGATCAAATCAAGAAGGTTGGGATTTGAACTGGTGACTTTGTTATAGTTACAAATTTGTATCCTTATTAGCTATCTTGGCTAGAGTTATACCAATGATGAGTTTTCTTATTTGGATGTTGATGTAGTCAACTTAAATTATTCCACTGCTTTGTTTTCTTCAACTCATTCTTGAGTAGCTTTAAGAATTGACAATGATTTTTGGCCACATGTTACCTAATAATGTTGGATTGGGATTCAAGCAATGCTTCATTAATCTATTCTCAGTATTATAGTTTTGGAAAAAATATACATGTTTCATGTGAGACAAGACCGTCTCTATTGAGAAAAATGGGATCAGGCGATCATGAACAGAAAAACAAAAAACAAAGAAGAGGTTATGTGGTTCAGCCAAGAGCCCACATCCACGTGAGCATAGTACTGAAGGGTATACTTCATCATACATGTTACAAGCATCATATTTATTGACAACCCTAGTGGTATACTTACAAAAATTACCCTTGTATAATATTGAAGGGTGCAGGGGACCCACTCACGAATAAGTTCAGGTTCAAACCACAAAGACATGTATTGTCGTTTCGTTCCATTTCGCTTCATTTGCACTGCGCTCCATTACACTCCAACACTGTAATTTTTCAATAATATATGAGACATACATCACAATCTCAAATATTAAAATAGTGAGTCAATGAGATTAACTTTAATGTCAATGAAACAAATTTCATTAGTCTAAGGCGGGAATAATTTATCAAAAGTGGCAATAGAGATATTTTTTGTTGAGCATATACTCTATATTTTGTTTAACATAACCGAACTAGTGGAGTGCTGAGTCGGGTAAGAGGATAATTTGCTCGAGTGTTATGGTTAGCAATTGACTATCGATCCAGGCCGAGTTGCAACCCCACTGCTAATGGGTAACCCACTCATCAATGACGTTAGTTGTCTCCCAAACAAAAGATTGGACGCTAGGTCTAACCTCCGGGGTGACCTCGATTGGTTCTGCCGATGGTAGCTTCTCATCTGACGACTATAGTGCTAATCGGACCTCTCATGTTCCTTGGGCAGGGAACAGACCCTCACGAAAAGGGCACACCCTTGCCTTGTCGGCTAAGGCATTCCTAGGAGTACGATGAACGTTCGCTTTGTGACTCGACTATTTCGGCGTATCTCGGGTTTGATTGCATAAAGGGAAAGGGTAAAACGGGTAGAAACTAGGAACACGTGTCTTTCGTAGCGTTCTCCATAGACGGCACATGTAACACCCCGTGTTATAGCCTTCAAACCCGAATTAATTATTAAATTAATTCCGTTAATTAAAAATAATTAAGAGGGATTTAATCCAATTCTAATTCTCTTAATTAACCTAGGCAGTCCTCAATGAATCGTGGGCCTTTGCCTGAACTAGAAATCTTAATATGATAACCCAAAATTTAATTTTATAAATCCAATTTTAAGAAATTCCAAAATAGCCATTTTCATTCCATTAAACATTTTTGCGATCAATTTGTGTTTGAATAAATTATTTTGAACACATTTTAAATTAATTCAACACCCAAAACTTATTATTAATCCAAAACCCTAAATTTTCGGGTACTTCGCATACCAAGTTTTAAATTGAGAAACCAATTTGAGTGAGACCGGGAGAATTCTAAGAAGCCTTAAACAAGTGTTCATCTAGAAAACTTTTTGAGAAAATTCATTTTCAACCCCAAAGTATTTTAAATAGCAATTCTAGCCCTTGGTCCATGATACAAGGTGAACCCTAAAATTGTATCCTTACATTTTTACCTTAAAACCTAAGTATAAAGGATAGCTTTCTCCCTTGTAGCACTATTCATTTCTCCAAATCAGCAACACAATTCTTTCCATCTCACTCGTGAAGCTCTCTCCCTCTCCATTGCGGGGTTTATTCCGACTTTCCCTTAAGGATCTTCCTGCTCGTACACGCAGCGGTAGGCTTTGTCGTCGGCGCCCTTGTGCGTGCGGACGACGTGCATGAGCCGGTACTTGGCCTGACCCGAATCGCGCTTCTTGTTGGACACGAGAATCGCAGCGCCGCCCATTCTGAAGTGGCAATTAAGGAGGAGCATAGCTCTCTCCAATCCTTTGTAATAGTTGCGCGTAATAATCGTCGTGCTAACCACCAGGGCGTTAGAGTTGGGGTGCACGTACTGGAATGTGCGAGATCGATCGAGATCAGGCCGGCGCTACACCCCATACCGGAGAAATTATTGCTTTTGATAGATAGATCGCCGAAGTCCCTGGGGCGGCTCTTCGAGAAATCCGTGACTCCAAGCGATGTAGGCAAGCTGAACCGGCTTGTGATCCCCAAGAAGCAAGTGGAGAAGCACTTCCCCCTCTAAAACGGCGCTGTCACCTCCAAGAGCGTTCTCTAAGCTAAATCGGCTCGTGATCCCCAAGCAGGAAGTAGAGAAGCACTTCCCCCTCCGCAAAAACAACGCTGTCACCTCCAAGAGCGTTCTCTTGAGCTTTGCACGTGAAATTACATATATATCCTCAAAGATCACGATCAGCAAATGGTCAAATAGATGGAGGACCAAATCGTGTCAAAATTGCAAAGTTAAGGACTTAATTGGTTGAAATTGAAAGTCGAGGACCAATTTGTGAATTTAGCTATAGTCGAGGGACCATTTTAGGTATTTACTCCTCAATATATATATATATATATATATATTAACAATTTTGAAAAAAAAAAAAAAAAAAAAAACCCTAACCTGCAAATTAGACGAGGAAGCCGCGCCGGCAGCCCCAATCTCCGGCTGAAGAAGGAGGCGGGAGCACTGGCGTCGTAGGGGAGCTGGGGTCATCGCAGGGCAGCCGGTGTCCGGTGTCGTCGTCACGGGGCAAGGAGGAGCTTTAGATCTACAAACGTGTCGTCCCATACCGCACGTTCCCGCACCATGCCGTACCTTGTGCGCCTCTCTCGCGCATATCCCGTGTCACACGTGCATTCCACATGCAGCCGCTCTTCGACGCACGCCATTCCACAAGTGATAGCCACCCCCGCGCACGCCCGGACGCACGAGCAACCGCCATCTCCAACGTGCCAACATGCATGCGACCGTATACGCACGCAACTCACCACCACCCTACATGCACCCCTGTAGACACCGAAAATTTGAACCCGATAAATGGACCGATTAAAGTGTAATTGGGCTAATGTTGAGAATGATGATTGGGCCAATTTGATTAATTGGATCATGGAAATTAATTTAATTTAATTAGCCCAATTAAGTTTGATTTGGGCCATTGAATTAATTAATTAGTTGGCCCAAGCCCGTTTTATGTTTGAATTTAAATTATAATTATAATTTAAATAATTTAAATATAATATTAATTTTATTATATTTGAATTAGATAATTATAATTTAATTTGAATTTGAATTAGATTATACAATAATGAACCTGGACTTGATCTTGGACAAGGTTCATTTTCCTAATTAATTAATTAATTAATTAGTTAACTAAAAAGGGGGGTTGGTTGAGGAATTTTGGTTAAGCTTTTAGTATAAATAGGGCCTTCATTTTCATTCCAAAAGACAACAATTGAAGACTTGAGAAGTTAAAGACGTGAAGGCTTTGAAGGCATTGAAGAACGCTTGACAACTTGAAGGCTTGAGAGCTTAAAGGAACTGAAGAACGCTTGAAGATTTGAAGGCATTTTTGTTGATTTTGCAGACAATTTGAATCCATTGCAGGTACTTTGGAGCTTTGCAGAATTGATTGTCTCGAAGATCTTGAAGTCTTTTGAAGGCATTTGAGGATCTTAAAGCAGCTTGAATCCATTGCATGTGTTTTGAAACTTTGCAGGTTGATTACTTCTAAATTCTTGACGCTCGTTGTTGGAAGTTACGCCACTTAAATCCCGGAAGCTACGCCACTTGAATCCCGGAGGCACGCGCCACTTAAATCCCGGAGGCTACGCTATTTGAATCCCGGAGGCACTTCCATAGATAACGTCAGTGAAGAATCAGAGGACTAGACAGAGATTTTGTACCTGCATTGAATTATACACACGCTGTAAACAGATTTTGTGAATATATATACAACGTTTACTTTTTTGTGTTTACAACCCCCACACGCAGTTGTCCCATGTTCATGGGCTTGTTCACTAGCTTACTCCTCCTGGGCTTGCACCCCCTATGCCCATGGATCCAGGCCCAACTCCTTATATTCCATCATAAGTCCACCACTTCTTTCAATTATTAGTGAATGATTTAAAGAAGTAGGGTCCAATCCATCAAGCAAGGCCCAGACTAGAAAGAAACCCTGGCAATTAGAATATTTAAAATTATTCCTCCCCCCTTCGCAACCAATTGCCGCGGCTACTCCCCTTCGTGCGCAACAACCCCCTTTTCTTCGCCACAATCTTTGCCAAGAGCCGCGCCTCCCACATTACTTCAACCATGAACGATCATGCTGTTCCTCTCCCCGAAACTACACTCACCCTATCACCGGTCGTCCCCTCTACCGTACCTCCGATCGCCGCCGCCACCATGCCTGTCGCCACGGTGCCCCGTCCGTCGTGACCGCCACAACGTCGACCATCGCCCCGGCGTTTGCCCCTTCCACACCGTATTCGCCATCGCCCGCTACCGCCAAAGCTCCTACGGCCACGGGGACTCCATCCACTCCTTCGCCTCACTCTCTTCCGGCCACGCCCACGTTCGGGGAATTTACTCAGTCCCTCTTCATCGTTCCGTCGCACGGCACCGCCGCCACCACCACCGTTACTGCCCCCGCGTCGCCCGCTCCCCCCACTCTGCTCGCGGTAGAGCCGTCGAAACGGTCTCGCGGGGCGGGACGGGCCAAAAAACACCAAAGCCCATCCTCGTAGCGGGACGGGCTAAAAAGCCCACCTCTTAGCGGGCTTGGAATGTGGCCGGCCCGCCCCGCCATACCAAAGCCCGCTGGCGGGGCGGGCTAGCCCGCCAATCAATTTTTTCACTGTGTTATTTTTAAAAAAATAAATAAATAAATCAATGTACAATATCCTTAAAAAAAAAATAGAATCACTGTATAGACGTACAATACACTAACACAGTAACACTACCTAGTATTGTATTCCTATAAATCTATAATCTTATAAGTTATAACACACTAACACTATTACACAAATCAAAATAACATGTATTAAATACTAAATATATATGTATTAGCAGGTCGCGGGCTAAACCCATGACCCGCCTGACCCGCCCCGCCTGGACCCGTGACCCAAGCGGGACGGGCTAAAAAGCCCGCCTCCTGGCGGATCAAAATTTGAAGAACCCGTCCCCTACCTACGGCGGTACGGGACGGGTCGACCCGGCGGGTAAAACCCATTTTTGACGGCTCTAGCTCGCGGCCATCAATAGTCATCAAAACCCTTTTGCGATCTCCGTTCCCCACTCTCGTGAGGCCACGCCGCTAGACCAAGTAGAATCTCAGGCCCCTTGCGCACCAATGTCGTCAATCCCTCCTCACGGGGTAAATCCTGATGACATTTCGACTCCTCAAAGGTTGGTGCCTCCTGTTGTTGATCTTAAAGATGAGTGTTCCCCTCTTGCGTCCACGATCTGTCGTATCCTGGATCCCGCCATCCCCCGTGGGATTCCATCTCGGCTATCCAATGCTGAGCTGATGTCGCTGGATGAATGGTTGGGGGAGGGATTAAAAATGATTATCCCCGAGGCTACGGATACCATGACTGAAACCTCGAATCCCCTTTTGGTGACGGTCAACTTTCATTCCGTCCAAGCTGGTCTGCAATTTCCCTTGCACCCATTAGTGGCCGCGTTCCTCCGCGCTCATAATGCCGTTCCGTGCCAACTTACCCCCAATGTACATAGGCTCCTCACTTGTTTTCTCACTAGGTGTCGCGAGGTTGGTGTGCCACCATCTCTATATCTTTTCTTACATATGTTTAGCGTGAGTCAGACGGGCCCCTTCCTGCATCTCCATCCACACCCCAGTTACACCTTCTTGACTCCCCTGCCTGCATTGCGAAACTGGAAAGAAAAGTTTGTGTACGTGGAGTACGCCAATGATGCCTCCGAGTTAGGTATCTCCAATGTGTGGTCCGCTCCTATCAATCATGTTGCGCTGTCTACATACCCCGGCCTGGATTCCCGGCGGCCCCTCGATCATAGGAGATATCACGACCCGTTGCATATCACTCAGCTCAGCGATCGTTTTTCCTTCCATACATCCGCGATACGCCGATTTTATTTTATTTTAATTTATTATTTTTTTTTGTTCTGCTAACGTGCATGTTTCTTGTTGGCTACCAGCGCCGGCTAGTAGCACTGCACTGATGTATCACGCATATCGGACCCGCGGCCAGGCCACCTTGCACTCGGATGATGAGGACTCGTTGGTTGGCGCGTTGCCGGATCCCACCTTGGACGGCGGTCCATCTTCGTCCATGATGGTGGATGCCGCGGATCCCTCCCGGGCAGACGTCGTCATCCGTATTCCTCCTCCTGAGCGTACCGCTTCTCCTTCGCCGCGTCCCCCTCCATGGCATGAGGAGTTTGAACCAGAAGATCCTCTTACCGTGCGGAACTCTAGTGGTTCTCGGGCGTTGCGACCATACAAGCCTAGTCATATTGAGTTCATCCGGCGTAGCGTGCATGACATGGTAACTCCCGCCAAACGGTTCTGGATGGATAGCAGCTCTTTGGATGTTCTCAGTTCTCACCTCGTGGGCGACAGCATGAACGTGAGCTCCCTTTCACGCCTGTATACGTATATTCCCCCTCCCCCTCCCCCCCCCCCCCCCCCCCCCCCCTTTTTTTTAGGTGACCATGCAAGCTGTAGGGCTCGAACAGCGGCTAGACTCGGTCTCTCGAGAGTATGCCGAATCTAAGCGGGCTCGGGAGACGATGGCGGCCACCCTCGCGGAGTCGGAGCGGAAGCACCTCCAGCTATGAGCGACGCACGATGCCTTGGCCGCCGAGTACGGACGGTTGCAGCACGCGTTTTCGGTCCTGCAGGAGCTGTGCAGTCGTCAGGAGGTCGCCCATGCGGCCGCCGTGCAAGTCGCGATCCATAATTGGCGGGATTCCGAGGGTTTTTCCCGTGCGGTGGAGGAACATGCCATGTCGCGCATGCTGGCCCTATTGCAAGCCTGGCTATCTATTGCTATTATGTCAGGCCTGCCGATGATAGACGTTATGGCCGATTGGCAAGAAGCGCAAGATCCTCGTCATTTCACTTGTCCACCTTCCTTGCGTGCTTTTCAGGATTGGGTGACTACGCCCGGTGGTCGAATTTCCATGGCTCCTGTCGCTGAGGTTTGGTTACGCGAAACGTCAGAGGGTCAAAGCCGGATGGTTCGCGAAGGTGAGGCCGCTTTCTACATTGGACAACGACAGATGCAGGAAGTTTTGTACGGCAAGCTCAGTTGTCGTTTTTCTACTTTTAGCGTGGGTGGATGGGAGCTGCCTGAACTTTTGCCACTGCAACCACCGCCTCGGCCAGTGATACCCACCACTCCCTCTCCAGCGGGTAGTGCTTTCCTAATTACACCAAAGAGGCCAGGGCAAGGAATTAGCTTGACCATCGTTGCGCCCTCCGATCCTTCGTCCGAACCTGGTACTGGTGGTGCGGGTAGTGTGAATCCGTCTAGCGCTGATGGCTACACCCCGCCTTCCTCCTCTGGTATGTCCGGGTCGGCAGAAGGGTCCGCCGCGCAGCGTGAGTGAGCCAGGGGCTTGTCCCGGTCGCTCGCCGCGTTTTTTTTTCTTCGTTTTCATGTGATTCCTCCTCACCTTTGTTTTTTTTTTATTTTTATTTATTTTTTTTTTTTGCTTTTGCTACATGGCCTTTAATGCAATTCGCTTTCATACTTGTATTGGGCTCCTCTGCAGTGCATGAGTTTTATGCTTAATGCGCGTGAGTTTTGTGCTTAAAGTGCGTGAGTCGTGTGCTTAAGGTGCGTGAGTTTTGTACTTAATGTGCGTGAGTGTGTACTTAATGTGAGTTATTTTTAAAACTTAATGTGCGTGTGTTTTTGTGCTTAGCATGCGTGAGGCTTGTGCTTAACATGCGTGAGGTTGTGTTCTGAAGTTGTTTTGTTTGTGTGCTTAATGTGCGTGTGTTGTGTACTTTAAGTGCGTCAAATTAATGCTTAACGTGCGTCCACCCGCACAACCGCACGGGAAGCCTCAAATGCACCTGATCCCTTCCCGATATATATATATATATATATATATATATATATATATATATAGAGAGAGAGAGAGAGAGAGAGAGAGAGAGTAAATACCTAAAATGGTCCCTCGACTATAGCTAAATTCACAAATTGGTCCTCGACTTTCAATTTTAACTAATTAAGTCCTTAACTTTGCAATTTTGACACGATTTGGTCCTCCATCTATTTGACTATTTGTTGACCGTGATCGACGAACTCTAGAAGAACCTTCAGCTCTCGTTGGAGCACATGGATGCCTCCAGGATGACGTTGCACCGGTTCGGAAACATGTCGTCTACTTCACTCTGGTACGAACTCAACTACATTGAATCCAAAGGGAGGATGAAGAAAGGCGACCGGATTTGGTAGATTGCTTTCGGCAGTGGATTCAAATGTAACAATGCGGTCTGGAAATGCAACCGGAACCTTAAAACCGGACGATAGACCATGAAACTACATATATATCCTCAAAAATCACAGTCAACAAACGGTCAAATAGACAGAGGACCAAATTGTGTTAAAATTGTAAAGTTAAGGACTTAATTGGTTGAAATTGAAAGTCGATGACCAATTTGTGAATTTAGCTATAGTCGAGGGACTATTTTGGATATTTACTATATATATATATATATATATATATATATATATATATATATATATATATATATATATATATATATATATATATATATATATATATATATATATATATATATATATATATATATATATTATTTGTAATTTTTTCTTACTTTTTTTTAAAAAAAACTTTGAATAAAAAAAAAAAAAATCTCGTAGACCGGCCCGCGGGGCCCGCCAACCCGCATGGGGCAGGCTATAGTTGCATGAACCTTAGCCCGCGGGCTTGATGGGGCGACTTGCAAAAGCATGTCAAAAATTAAGTCCAAAAAATTTTGCATGTGTATTCTTTGGAAAATGATTTTTCCCAAAAAAAAAAAAAGGAAGTCATTTTCCTCCAAAACATACTCATTTTCCTTTGACTAAGACATCATTTTCCATTGACCTCATTTTCCCTCCTCTTGGCATGCAAATTGTTTAAAAAAAAAAAAAAATTACCGCTCATTTTAAAATCATGATTCTTTACACTGTAGCGTTGACAAACGAATTTCTGTGTAAATTGTATCATACCTTCGATTTCTTCTTAGCAGTGGTCTGATCGATCACCTTACCACAGAGACGCAAATGGCTTACTTCGCCATAACTTCGCTAATGGAAACACTACATTTAAATTTCTTGCAACCAGAACCACCCTTTCCTCTTGATGATTTAGAGGCACAGATCAGAGATGACAATGAAAATGTTAGCTTGCTGCCAGAATTTCTTAGATCTGAGATTGCCAATGATGATGAGGCCATGAAAGATCTAGAGGATCTAGAGGCTGAGATTAGAGATGTATCGTTGAAAGTCGAAAAGAAAAGGATTGAGATGGCATTGGGTGAGGGCTGGACAAAGCTTTGGCTTCATGGAATAGTCTTCAATCAAGCAGTAAACCAAACTGAAAGTTCATCAAAAAATGCTCGGGATAGTGTACAAAGCTGCTTTCCAGAAGATGGACGCTGTACACTGTTGATTCCTTGCCTGGCTGAAGTCAAACAAAAGATTGTATCTCTCCATGGAAATCTTGGGTTGATGCAAGAAGTTGTTGAGAAATCTGAGATTGATGCGGGGGCGATGAAAGATGTAGAGGCACAGATCAGAGATGTATTGTTCAAAGCTGAAGAAAGGATTGAAATGGAGTTGAGTGTGATTAATCTAGCAAAGGGCCAGAGAGATAGTGTTCGTATGACAGCTAGCATGCGCAGGCTTCAGGGAATCTTCAATGAAGCAGTAAAACATACTGATTACCTCAAGAACGAGTTAATCAGGCTTGCAAAGGCAGATCTAGAACCCCAAAACATTACTGTGATGAGAAAATTTTCCAGAAAGGCTTCAAAGTTCGACAGTAGAATGGTGGGATGCGAGGAGGAGTTCATGAAGATATTGGATCAGCTCACACAACAATCAGCTAAGAAGCGACGAGTTGTATCAATTGTTGGCATGGGAGGAATCGGCAAAACTACTTTAGCTCAGAAAGTTTATGAAGATCTAACAATTGCTTCTCATTTTGACAGGCGAGCATGGGTTAGTGTATCTCAACAGTATAATGTGGAACAAATGCTCCAAAGCCTAATTGGTTCTGTTATTGCAGCATCAAGAGATGAACTCCTTGAACAGAGGAATGTTATGGATGAACAAAGAAATTCCAAAGACAAATTAGCAGAAAATCTGCGTAAACGGCTGATGGGTCAAAGATATTTGATAGTGATGGATGATGTATGGAGCACAGATGCTTGGGATAGTGTGCACAGATGCTTTCCAGATGATAATAATGGAAGCCGTATACTATTGACTTCTCGGCTCAAAGAAGTGGCTGAATATGCTAGCTCAGGTAACTCTCCTATTTACATGCCTTTCTTAGATGCCAATGAAAGTTGGAATCTCTACTGCAATGTGTTTGGTAAAAAAGAATTTGTTTTGGTGTTTGAGCAAGTTGGTAGAGACATAGTGAAGAAATGTAAAGGATTACCTCTAGCTATCATTGTAGTAGCTAGTCTTCTCTCCAAGACAGAGGAGAAGGTGGAGAAGTGGAAGAATGTTGCAAAAAATGTAATTGATGACTCTAACGAAGCATGTTCAGAAATACTATCTTTGAGTTACAATCAATTACCACACCACTTGAAGGCTTGCTTTCTATATTTTGGAGTTTTTCCAGAAGACTCTGAGATCCCTATGAAGAAATTGGTTAAGTTGTGGGCAGCAGAGGGATTTTTGGGGGTAGTGAAGCATCGGAATATGGAGGAAGTGGCTATGGAATTTTTGCAAGATCTTGTTGATAGAAGCCTTGTTATAGTTAGCAAACAAAGTCACAACGGCAAAATCAAGGCAATAAAGATACATGATCTGTTGCGAGACTTGTGCTTAAGAGAAGGTGGACACAAAAATCTCTTGAGTGTCATTGGGGGATTTACTCTTCCAAAACGTTGTCATTGGATAAGTATTAATCCCCAATATTTCAATATTAAACACTTTTTAGAGCTCTTTGACAAATTCCATTCCTTACACTCTTTTGAATTTATTGATTTAAGCATTGAAGCATTTTGTAGCTTCAAACTACTGAGAGTAGTAGACATGAACCTTGGGCACTGGAACTTTGGGTGCAGGAATCTGTGGGATTTTGGAGCTAGGGTACTAAATACGGAAAATCTTATTCATTTAAGATATATAGCTTTGTCTATAAACGGAAAAAAATTCCCTCTTACATTGATGCCCGTTGAGCATTGGAATATACAAAGTTTTATTATTCGTGCACGTGGTGATATGTTGGATACTTCTCAGGCATATAGAATTTGGAAAATGCCACTGTTAAGAAATTTTTATATTGAGGGAATTCCTTTTTCATTAGAAACTTCCGGAGTTGTTCATAGACACTTAGAGACTATATCTTGGTTGGACCCTATATGTTGCACAAAGGATCTCTTTACAAAAATTCCAAATTTAAAAAAATTGGGAATTAGGGGTAGACTCTCTTCTGAAAATCCAAATTACTTTAATAATTTTGTGCAGTTGGGGCAACTTGAGAAGCTAAGCATCAAAGATCCGTGCCTTCTAAGTGTTCTGCGTAGTAGCATCCCATGGACAACTAGTTTTCTACCAAATCTTAAGAAGCTCAAGTTCATGGAGACTAATTTGCCATGGAATGCAATGTGGCTTATTGCTATGTTGCCGAATCTAGAGATTCTAAAACTGATTCATGCTTGCAGAGGCGAAAAGTGGAAACCATCTAAGAGAAGGTTCTGTCGATTGAAGAGGTTAGTAATTGAAAACACAAGACTCAGATATTGGAATGTCGTGGGTGAACATTTTCCTATGCTAGAATGTTTAGAGTTACGTAAATGCGACTATTTGCAAGAGATCCCTAGTGATTTTTCCGATATCAACACACTGGCATTGATTCAGTTAAATGAGTGTTGGGATTCCCTTTTGGCTTCTGCAAAGTGGATTCAAGAAGAGCAACATAACTACGGAAATGATACCCTCGTTCGTTCCAAAGATATTTGGGTCTCTTTCTATCCCTCTAATCATTTCATATTGATCTCATGTTACTTGAATTCATGGCTATTGTTGCAATGGATATACAATCAATTTCAGTTTTCTCTCATTTTTCTCTATCACTGCTATATATTTCCTTACTTATCTTAATTTATTTTTCCCAGTATTTCAATGAAAAAGGAGAAATCTCAACTCTCAAGGAAGGATAATGTGCGTGAATAGGAGGAAGCCAGGGAGTAATATGCCAATGAATAATTTCACCCTTCTGTTTCTCCTTAACATATTATTCTTAAGCACAGACAAATGAGGAGGTGCTTCTCCTGCTGAATCTCAGATCTCCAAAGATCAAGTTTAGAGGCACAATTACCAATATTAGTTAAGTTGGTCAAACAGTTAATAGTGACCATATGTTTCAAGTTCAACTCCCAACGGGAGCGGCCTATTAACCTTCATGGTTTCTGTCGGTCAGCTATGGACAACTTAGATTGGTTTATCTATTGAGATCCTTTGTTCACTTAGAGTTATAAGGCGGTGGGTTTACCCAATACACACTTTCGGATAATGATTCTGGATTTCCCTCGTTACTAAAAAAAAAAAAAATTGTTTAGAGGCACTAATGAGAGGTGTTTGGCTGTTTTGGTGATCTGAAATGGTTTGTGTTTCTGGGATGAAGCTGTTGATTGGACTTTTAGGTTGGAATATCAAAAGCTGTGGTGACTGATGAATCTGCTAGTGGTTTTGTACTTGATGTGGGTTTATTGTTGTGCATATTTTGGCTCAATACTCTGTTACATGATATACTATATCTAATCTATAATTTTATAAACAATCCATTTATGAAATAATGTAATTATTAAATTTTTATGGCAACTCAAAACAAGTTGATAGTGTTGATTTTTTTTTAATATAATAATGTTACAGTTCGATCTCTTCTAATTTTACTTCTTATAAAATCATAAGAATGACACGAAAATACCTCTTTATCACAGACCAAAACTTCTTGACTCTTGATCTCGGTGGACCCTCTGTTCTCGGCTATTTCGTAGCATCTAACACACTTCACTCTTATTGCTTTCTCCCTATCAAGCGGGCCAATGTCTTTTACTGGAACATACATTGGCATTGTTTAGTTGCTGAAAGTTTGAGTGTATTTTTTGTAAAATGCAGGTGATACGAACTGAATATATACTGAAGTTTGGAGGAAAATTCTCCATCGACACAGGCTTATATATAGAGTATAAATCAATGGATTTCAAAATCTGAGAAGACTAAAGGGGGCTGTCGACCTTTCAGTTTTCAAGAGCATGTTGCGGCTACATTTAAATGTTTATGGAGAAATCGATTTTCAAAGCATCTATCATTATAATTAACACGCTCGTTAGAAGTCTATAATAATTAGAATTCTATTTAATATTTTTTTTTGTTGGTATTGCAAAAAAGTAGCCGGCTGTATTTAATTGCACGCGGTTAATAACAACTTTTTCTCATGCCATCAAACGGCGTCGTTTTCATTGGGCGGGATTTTGGCATAGACAGAAACTTAGTGCTTTATTATAATGATAGATTGTATCTGCATCTTTGAAATATTCTTTTACTTTTAAAATTAGATTTTATTGTCATATCATTATTGTAAAGAAACATTCATGAATTTGATGATTCAAAATGACTGGTACAAGGTATATATATATACAAGGAAGCTAAACTATAAAGACATGACTCTTCTTATAAGACATGACTTGTATCCTAACATTATCCCTCATGTTGGAGCATATAAGTTAAATGTGTTAAGTTTGTTACAAATATAATTTATCTTTAGGATCTCCAAGTAACTTAATAAGAATATCCACCAATTGATTAGTGGAGTTAACATGAATTGTACTAATCAATCTTGATGTAATCTTTTCCTTAATGAAGTATTGCAGTAAACTTCAATTTGTTTGGTTCGTTTATGAAAGACTAGATTCATTCTTCCAAAGGTTGAACCCCAACTCTAAGAGTCCAAGATTAGATTCATAACAATATGTTGAGCTGCCTATTACAGTTGTCACTTCACAATATTGTAGCTCTTGAAGTAAATGCTTTAGCCATATGAGTTCACATGTAGCTAAAATCATGGCAAGATATTCAACTTCTGCACTAGATCTGACCACCACATCTTGTTTCTTACTTTTCCATGAAATCAAGTTACCACCAATGAGTAGTAGCATTCCACTTATCAATACAAGGATTTTCTAAAAATTGGAATGATTTAGATCAATATATGGGCGAGTGATTGTGAGATAGTTCAGTTTTCCAATAAGTCTCATCTAATGCTCTAGCATCTGTTTTGACTTAGAAACACAATTTATATTTTAGAAGTTCACAATCTCAATACTAAAAATATACAATATATATATCGTTTAGAGCCAGGAAGGATCCACATTGCAATTGAACAACTCTGCAATTGAAACATCGAACAAAACAATGTGCAATTGGACAATTAAACATTAAAAAAGTGTTCAAATAACATTTTTTACAAGTTATTTTTAAGTTTATGGTAAAATATGATATCTTAATATTAAATTATATATAGAATTATTTTAATTATTATTTTAAAAAATTTAGAAAAAAACAATATTTCTTTTTAAATTTTAGTAGATGTGGATGAAAGGGGAAGCCGCTATGGCTGCCCCCTCCTTTGTCCAATCTTGATGAAGGAGGGAGCATCCATGGCTGCCTCCCCTTTATCTAGGGGATGAAAGTGGAGGCAATCATAACTACCTACTAGGGATGGCAATGGGTCGGGGAGGGCTACATCCATCACCCGACCCACCTTATATTTTCTCCACCCACCCCCACCCCCACCCCCAACCCACATCGGGTGGACTTTTTCAAAACTCACCCCAACTCCCATCGGGTGCGGGTGCCCACTACGGGTACCCACCACTTATAATCTTGTTATTTTTTTTTTCAAAAAATAATATTTAAATTACCTACACATAATAAAATAATAAAATTTATTAGTTATATAAAACATAAAATAATAGAAATATTTAAATATAATAATTAAATTGTTAATTTTTAAAAATAAACTTAGTAATTTAGATATAAAAATAGTAAAAAATTACATGAAATTATAAAAACTTTTATAAAAAACTACATGGTGGGTCGGGTGGGGTTCTAGGCGGATTTTGTACATAGAACCCGAATCCAACCCGACCCACCGTGGGTTTACATTTTTTAAGACCCACCCCCGATCCATCATCTACTATCACCCAAAAAACCCGACCCATGCGAGATGGATTTGGGTGGATATCCGCGGCAAATTATTGTATGGACCATGGTCCACATAATGTTATGTGGACCATAACAAAAAGTACATTTTTAATATACTAAATGTACATTATTTTTGTACTGAATGTACATTATACAATATAATGTACACTCAGAACAAAAATAATGTATATCCCCTGTATATAATATACATTATTTTTGTACTGAATGTACATTATTTTTGTACTGAATGTACATTATTTTATAATAAATAAAATATGGTCCACACAACTTGTGTGAACCATGGTCCACACAATAATGATTGGATATCCGCGGGGCGGATTGAAATTGCCATCCCTACTACCTACACCTTCTTCTGAAATTAAAAGATTTTTTTTTAACTTTTAAAAATAATAATTAAAATAATATATATATATAATTTAACATTATGAAATCATATTTTACCAAATAATAAATAAGATAAAAGATGTAAAACTATATAGATAATGATAATAATAATAAGTGAAATTATACATGTTTTTATATTTAATTTTAAAAAGCGTTTAAAAAAAATATTTAGCACATTCGTTACACTAAAAAAAACATTGATTACCTTAAAAAAAAAAAAAAAAAAAAAAAAAAAAAAAAAAACATTGATCAAACAAGGTAAAAATCGAAATGATTAATAATTCAATATTTATTGTTAGTATAAACGATTTGGTCAAAAAAGGTAGAAATCAAAATGATTATTATGTACTGTCGAAAGACACTAAATATTTTACTTGTGACTATCATTTACAATCTTATTTTTTAAGCGCTTAATAAATACACATTAAAAAAAAAACAAAAAAAAAAAAAAAAAAAAAAAAAACCTTAACTTGTTATCTCTTTTATTATTTTAGTTAACAAATATGAAAATAGGGGAAATCAACATTTTTTCCTTTAATTATTTTTCAATTGTCAATATAGTTCCTAGTTTTCAATTTTAGCCAATTTGGTCTGGGACTAAATTGATAAAATTTTAAAAGTATGGAAATCACCATTTTAATTCCTGAAAATGTTTAATTAACGAAGTTTTAAATAATATAAGAATTAATTTGTTGAAATTGGAAATTAGGGGATGAAGTACCAAAATGGCGATAACTCTATGAAAATATTGAACAAAGGTTTAGCTAAAATCTTTTTTTTTTTTTTTTTTTAAGTTACTGGCTCTATTACATTGTAATATTGTTCATATACTTTCTCAACCTATGAAACACAAAGAACCAATAACGCCTCCACTGAGGCTCCAACCCGAGTACCATTAGACCACATAATTAGCTAAAATCTAATTATGCTTTATGCAGGTATTAGAATGCTTAAGAAGTAAGAACACTAAATAAAATGATATTTTTCTTTTTAAAAGAAAATTTTTAATAGTCTAAAAATGTTATTTACAACCCACATCTAGAAGAAAAAATAGAAAAGATATTAAAGAAATTATAATTTCTTCAAAAAAAATCAGCTGAATTTAAACAAGAGAAATAATATGGAAAATAAAAAATTGTTTGTTTCTCGCCTACTATGAGCATGCGTGCATGCGAATGACTGAGCTCATCACTCATCAGTCATGCCCATAGAAAACGGCGCCGTTTCGGCAACAACGGCATTCATACCACGGTGGCTTTAACGGACGCCGGAACCACCGCGTACCTAACGGAGAAATTCTCATTGTGCTCCGGTCCTTCATCGAAATTCAGAGCATAACTATGAGGATCGTACCGGAATTTCCCTTGATTATCGCATACGCCGCCGCCGCATCCGCAGCCGCCGGCGATTGCTTTTTCCTTGCTTGTGTTAAAGCGGCGGAGGAAGCTCTTCCATCGTGGCCTCGCCATGGTCCCCGACCAATGCCGGAGCCGGTTTAGGGCTCTGATCCCCCGGAACCACAGTGAGATTTTCTCGATCTCCACCGCCCGCATCATCGTCGACCATTTTGACCCGAATCCGTCCCGGCCGGTCGCCCCGAGACAGGGAAAATGGAAAAAGCATCGCCGCTTCTGTAAGAGCAATTCCGTCGCCTCGTTCTGCTCCGCTTCTCTGCTCGAAATTCCATGGCCTTCCATTAGTTCCATAGCCATTACTCTACTCTCGCGCTCTCTCTCTCTCTCTCTCTCTCTCTCTCTCTCTCTTTCTCTCTCAATGTATACAGAGGAGTGAGGACGTTGTATTCATTGCATTTCGTAGAATGCAGGGTTTTACGGTAACGGATATTGAAACTTTGAAAGGGGTGATGGACTGGACTGACGGGAACCGGGAAATGCCGGTTGCCCAGAAATATGGTAGGTAAAATTTTACTATCATTATGGAAACTTTATTGCTTTTATGGTAAAATCACCCGAAATTTATTATTGCAATTAAAGGAAAAAATTGAAATATATGTTTTGATTGATGAACCTAAAATCTATATCTATATCTATATCTATATCTATCTATCTATCTATCTATATCTATATCTATATCTATATCTATATATATATAAAAGTAAAATCCTCCTAGCAAGTTTTTCCCCCAAAACTTAGGGGCATTTCTATAATCTAATAATAATAATAATAATATATATATAAAAGTAAAATCCTCCTAGCAAGTTTTCCCCCCAAAACTTAGGGGCATTTCTGTAATCTAATAATAATAATAATATATATATATAAAAGTAAAATCCTCCTAGCAAGTTTTCCCCCCAAAACTTATGGGCATTTCTGTAATCTAATAATAATAATAATAATAATAATAATAATATATAAAAGTAAAATCCTCCTAGCAAGTTTTCCCCCCAAAACTTAGGGGCATTTCTGTAATCTAATAATAATAATAATAATATATATAAAAGTAAAATCCTCCTAGCAAGTTTTCCCCCCAAAACTTAGGGGCATTTCTGTAATCTAATAATAATAATAATATATATATAAAAGTAAAATCCTCCTAGCAAGTTTTCCCCCCAAAACTTAGGGGCATTTCTGTAATCTAATCTAATAATAATAATAATAATAATAATAATAATAATAATAATAATAATAATAATAATAATAATAATAATAATAATAATAATAATAATACCTTAAATAAATAAATTATTATACTTTCCTTTTGAATTAGTATTTTCTACTTATAATTACAAATTCATAATTCCTAGCCTTCCCATCATTTCCTTCTCTACATCGGTAATGCTTCTCCACCCCGTATCTTCTCCATCATTTCATTGACTTTTGTTAATCATCCTGTGATCTTCCATAGTTGAGGCTGATACGTGATTTGCACGGGTGAGGTTTTCATTATCTTAGTTTTTTTTTTCTTTTTGGGTTTTGTTTTGTTTTGTTTTGGATTTTTCGATATTTAAATAAGAAAAGTGGTTTGTAATAAAAATGTTGATATATTCTTTTTTTTTTTGTTTATTTTTTGTGGAGAAGATACAGATCTAGAAAGATTGATTGAGAAGCAATAGAGTTCGTTGCTCATCAAGTGGAAAAAGTTTAGAGGGACGGATGAAGTGTAGGCAATAAAAATCTATATCTATATATAGTTAAAAGTAAATCCTTCTAGCCAAATTTTTTCCCCAAAACTTAGAGACATTTCTATAATATCATCTAAAGATGTAGGCAATGAGATATTGAGAATGAAGTACGTACTAGGAATTGAATAAAAAAAAAATTTTAATTTAGGTAAGGGAGAGATTTTTATTTTTTTTACCAGAAGTTTATATATTTTCCTTATACAAATTTATAATTGTAAATTTATATTAATAATTTATTATTGTAAATTTATATTAATACAATATAATAAAGTCAGTAGCATTAAAAAAGATTATTAAGACAAATATAATTTATTTTTATATTGTGAATACATTATTTTTAATAATTTTGATTTAATAATATTATACTATAATTATAAAAATTTTACCTAATAATTTTAGTATTAAATGTCATATAATAATTACCATAAACAATCTTTAATAATTGACAAATTCTATTAGGCAATAAAAATTTATGTCTATATATAGTTAAAAGTAAATCCTCCTAGCCAAAATTTCCCCTCAAAACTTAGAGACATTTCTATAATATCATCCATTATATATATATATATATATATATATATATATATATATATATATATATATATATATATATATATATATATATATATATATATATATATATATATATATATGGGAAGAAGTACGTACTAGCACTTTTGTAATTTTATCAATATACAAATAAATATGTAGGCAATGAGATATTGAGATTTTGAAGTATGTACTAGGAATTGAATAAAAAATTATTTTAATTTAGGTAATATATATTCTAATTATAAGTATGTAATTTCGGATAATTTAAAAGGACTCAATTGAATAAAAAATATTAAGATTATTGAATAATTAATTATACTAATAGACATTGTAGAAGAATATGGTAGAATATAGACTAATTAATTTTGAAAATTGATATACGCTAATATTACGCGGAATTTTTTTATCCAATTCATAAATGAGTCAATTTAATAAAAAATATTTTTAATACGGTAATAGCTATTTTAATTATAAGTATGTAGCACCGGATAATTTTAAATGAGTCAGTTGAGTAAAAAATAATTACACTCTGAAATAATTAATTATGGTAATACAAAATGGAGAAGAATAATGCACAATATATTCTATTTAATTATGGACATATTATCATGGTAATATTAAATGGAATTTTTTGAACCAATTCATTAATGAGTCAATTGAATCAAAAATATTTAAAATATGGTAATGAATATTCTAATTATAAATATGTAATACTGGATAATTCTTAATGAGTTAAATGGTTTAAAAATATTTAGTCTATGGAATAATTAATTATGCTAATACATATTGTAGAAGAATATGTCAGAATATACTACTTAATTATGGACATAATATTATGCCAATATTACACGGTTTTTATTTTAAACAAATTCACAAATGAGTCAACTGACTAAAAAAATATTTTTTTAATATGGTAAAATATATACATATATACATATTATTTTTCTAATGTGAAATAATGTTATTGACTTACCATGTTTGCTTCGATATGCTAAGCCATTTAAAATATAATAAAATTTATAATTGTAATACTTTCGTAATAATATTGAATAAATATTAATCATATGTTTAGATTTAATAATATAGTATATTATATATTAAAAGAATTATATATTAATCTAATATAGTGATCGTTAATACGGGTAAATTATATATAAGCATAATTTAATATAGAAAAATATTCATTATTACTCATATATAATTTAGGAAATAAATAAACTTATTGAAACTTAATTATTTATAACTTCAACTTTAATCTAAATATATGGATTTAAATATATAGTTTTAATATCCAAAATTAATAAGGTTTTATTAATGTGGATCTATATATTTTTAATAATTTTGATTTAATAATATTATACCTTAATTTTAAAAATTCTACCTAACAACTTTAGTATTACATGGCATACAATAATTACCATAAATAATATGTTATAATTGACAATTTGTATTAGGCAATAAAAATTAATAATTAATAATTATGAACATGGTGTTGTGAACATAATTATGAATATATAGTTATGTAATTATGAATATAGAGATTCAATAATTGTGAATATGAACTTAAAAAATTACGCATATATATATACATATATATATATATATATATATATATATATATATATATATATATATATATTTATAATTGTGAACATATAGTTGAGTAACTATGAACATAGAGTTCTGCAATTATGAATATAGAGTTCAATACTTATGAATATATAGCTTTACAATAATGAACATATAGTTCAGTAATAATAAACATAGAACTGTGTAAGGTGGACACGGTTCCACAACATAACTATTCGATTGACCCTGTTACATGTAAACTTTCTCAAACCTATTGAAGCCCAACGTGTCAAAAGGCTCTTATTTAAGAAACCTTATCTTAATGGCTTCTTATTTTAGTTTTTTTTTTTTTTTAATTTATTAGGGGGTTTGAGAAAGATTAACCCAAAATGTATATGAGTTGTTTTAGTTTTTAGTAGTTTGGAGCAAATTGCTAAGTTATTAAATAATATTTTTGGTGTTTTGATTAAATATAAAGTGTTAAACAGACGAATTTCTTAAAATTTTGACGAATTTGCCAAATAATCAAATTACAATAACAACAACAACAATAATAATAATAATAATAATAATAATAATAATCCAAACAAAACTATATACAAAATAAAATTAAAATTAACAAAAAAAAAAAAAAAAGACAAAGGCGAGCCACCGGCTCCCTTTGTAAATGACGTGGGATCAAAATTCGATCCCACATTGAAAATGTTTGAAAAGAGAGAGCTCCTCTATATAAGAGGAACAATGATCCTCTTATATAAACATAATTGCTTGCCCATCAATGCGGGCAAGTATTGAGAAGTCAAAAGGTTCTTATTTAAGAAGCTTTAACTTTGTTTTCTTAATTTAGTTTTTATTTATTATTAGTGGGGTTGTGGAAAATTAACCCAAAATGTATGTGTTGTATTAATTTTTAGCAGTTTGGAGCAAATTACTGAGTTATTATATAATATATTTTGGTGTTTTGATTAAAGTTAAAATGCTAAAATGATGAATTTATTAAAATTTTGGCGAATTGATCAATAATAATAATAATAATAATAATAATAATAATAATAATAATAATAATAATAATAATAATAATAATAATAATAATAATAAGCATCATCATCATCATCCAAACAAAACGATATACAAAATAAAATTAAAATTAATAAGAAGAAGACAAAAGGGACCCACGGACTCCCTTTGTAAATGATGTTGGATCATTTTGATCCCACATTGAAAATATTTGGAAAGATGAGCTCTTGAACTCCTCTATATAATAGGAGCAATGCTCCTCTTACAAACATAATTGTTTGACCATCAATGTGGGCAAGTATTGAGAAGTTCAAAGGCTCCTATTTTATTTTTGAGTACTATTGACCCGGAAAATTATGCTGTGAAATTGTGTCTACCTTGCATGGTAGACACAGTTCCAAAAATTGTTCATAATTATGAATATATAGTTCT